TGCTGCAGATGTGGCAGCCCTAGCATATGGGTACTTCTCAAAGTGTGGCATTGATGCTGTCCTAGGTTTGTAGCTTGCTTTCTTGTCCTAGCAATCTGTTGGTTTAACTTGAAGGCTTTACTACGTTAGTAGATTTTCAAAAAATGCACATATTCTATGATGGATGTGATATTTCTCAGAGCACATACAAGTTGCATGTGATGAATTTTTTTCCCTGTCCGACTGTTTGTCTTGCACATCTTCTTATAAGTTCTCATGCACTTTAGCTTGCATTTGGTTCTCAAAGAGATTAGAGAATACAATGTCCGTGACAACAATACATCATTGGAAACTGTAACTATACACAAGAACTTAATTAACACACTTTTCATGAATTGATAGTAGAACTTCCTGGAATGGAAAAAATACTTTCACTTTAGTCAATGCTATTTGTGTTTCTGATGCAAGGTAATTTTCTCTCCCAAGCATTGGCGGGAGCCTCGTGTACTGGGTACCAACTTTTATTTTTATGCAAGCTTATTTTTCGTGGCTTAGTAGTGTTCCACATTAAACCTGTATGAGGTGAACATACATCAACACATTTGGGTAGAAAAGAAGGATGGTATTTGTGATTACAAGCTAATTTTTTGTGACTTAATAGTGCTCCCAATTAAACCTCTATGAAGTGGATATACATCAACACATTTTGATCGCGATGCAGCATGGTAGTTGGTATTTTCTATAATGGCATGAACTATTGTTTTCCACGACCACCTCGAGAAGAAGAACTCTCTCAAGGCTAGTGGAGACAGTACACATATCTAGCAATCACATGTGGGTTTCCAATTTGGGACTGTTATCTCACATGAGGGATCAACATTGTTTCTCTGATGCCACCTCTAACAATTTGTGCAAGGGCCATCCTCTACCATGCCTCCATAAGGATTATGGTGGTATTTAGAAGAGAGGATGCACTAGCATATATTTGAGGATTCTGTGAGGTTCAGTACCCGATATCTCTTTTAGAGATCTTAAATATAAATCTTACCTTCCATAGTCCTTTCCAAAGATGTCATAGTCCAATGATGAGAACAATGATGAAGAGAAGCTAGGAGAGTATGACATGACCCCTCGAAGAATAGAGGATAAGTAAAATAAAAAAAAAGAAGATACGAATGGTGGGTGTCCCCCATAAATATGTGAACCTGCTTTTGGATATTCCTTGATCCTTGCGGAGTAAAAACCATTGCGTTGGAATTTATCTGGTCTCAAATTCAGTTAAAAACACTCGGGTCCAAGATTTTGGAACTGAAGAGCTAAATGCACTGAATAAATGAACTTTGTTTTCTGATGTCACCATTTTCACTAATTATGTAAATTACCTTTTACACATGGAGGGATTTCTGTGGGGCAGTCGTTGCTAGCCTGCAAAAAGGTGTACCTAAAGTATGTAACTAATTATTTTTGTAGGTTATTACCTCACCAAAGCATCATCAAACCCTGGAGCTGGTGATATTCTTATGGGTTTTCTTGGATCTGTTATAATTTCATTTGCCTTTTCAATGTTCAAACAAAGAAAGGTACATCATCTGCAGTGCCAAACATCTTTTGTTCTGAATACTGTGTTAAGCTACAAAATCAACAATATATTCTTTGATTTTTATGTTTTTTGTAAATTACATTCAACTTTTGTCAAAAGATGTATGTAGGTTTCAACAGTACCAAAAACTTTAGCTAAGCAGTATCAGTTGTTTATGGCTAGTAGCTTGTCAGGCGACATGCCGCTGAGATTTTCTCTTCAGTGATTATTGCGACCACCTTCTCTCTGTACTCGACTGCAATCGTTGGGCGTCTCATTGGGTTAGAGCCAACTTTAACCATATCAATTTTACCAAGATGTATAACTGTGGCGTTAGCCTTGAGCATAGTGTCTTTATTTGAAGGTATTTTCTAATACTTGTTCACTTCTCTTTTTAATATTTATTAGTCAACATGATTTGTGCATGCAGAATAAGTTAACAAGGTAACCTCTCTATGAGACAGCTTGAATCCTAATCTTTTCCTTCTAAGAATCAACATGAGATTTAGAAGTTCAACGTCAGCTGTAACTGTGCTAAAATTCCGCTAAGTATACGGGTTTCTTTAGAGAAGGAATGATATTTTTCTTGTTTCCTTTAATATCTTATTAAGATATCTGAGTGCTAACCATTTGTGTTTCGTTTTCCTTGTGTGTTTGGCTTTAGGTGCAAATTCATCTCTTACTGCTGCTGTAGTTGTTCTCACTGGTCTGGTCGGAGCAAATTTTGTGCAAGCTGTAATGGATAAATTACGTCTAGATGACCCTATCGCTAGAGGAATAGCAACAGCTTCAAGGTACATGTTTCATAGATTCTTCTGCTCGATTAATGTGGTCTATAAATCTTTCTAATAACATGCATGCTTGCTTGAATAGCTTTAACAATTGATTCACAAGAGGTAACATTTGAGCTATGAGTTGCTCAAGATCAGCCAAGTAATATTTATTGTTAAACAAATATAATTTTTATTTGGTAACTCCAAGTCACCCTATCATGCAACTATACAATTTTTTGAGACATTTGTATATGAGATTTTTGGTTGATCAATTAGAGTTTGTTTAAGCCTTTAAGGTATTATTAAGATGTTGTGCATGTTTAGATCTTAATGTCAATAGCAAGAATCAATGACCAACTGATTGTAACAACAAAAAAAGAGTTCAACCATCTTTCAGTAAATAATATTATACAGCTTTCTAACTAGTTGGACCATAAATGCAGACAAGATAAAGAGTATTACCTTTTCTTTTCTTGGTCACTATGGGAGTGAAATAAGAGATCTAAGGAAGAACAGAGGCTAGACTTTATTAGTAACAACTAACAAGTAAATTCTTTGTATGTAAAAAAAATCGAGATGTTGGGGGGATAAACACCAATCAAAAGACATGAGACAATCCAAAAAGCACTTGATCATGATCAAATTTATAAGCCTACTTGGATATTGAGCATTTACCTGTTCTTGAAATCTCTGTTTTGGTTCAAAGTCATGGTGTAACGTGTATCCCTTTTTATTTTGATCATGAAATAGATGAAATAAATCAAAAAATAGATTTTTGTTTAAGAATGAAATCTTATTGGAAATGTCCATATCCGGTTCATCCTTTGGATCCATATCACAACCCGGATCTAATGAAATAGGATGAATTGAGATTATATATTTGTAAATACATAATTATCTTGAATATATTAACCTTTTTTTTTATTGCTTGTAAGGGACAAAAGAAACATCTTATTTTTTTTTCCAAAAATTTCTAATCTCTAGTGGACCTCTCAATAGGATCCGAACCCTAGCACTCTATGGAAACCAACCGCTATATGTCTTAAGTATTCATGATTATATCGAACAAGAAATCATTATTGAACAAAGTTCACTATCTTATGATTCATGTAGGAGATATAAATTAATGCTGAGCTTATTTTAGAATTCTTAAAGTGGAAATTCAGTCACCATTGCTCTAAAGCCTATGCATATTTGGAATTGAATAAAGGATCAGAAGGCATGTGACTATCTTTCAAAGAAACTTCTCTATCAATTTTCTCGAGTGCGTTCGACTGATGTTCCCTGTAATTAATCATCCATTACTTTCACTTAGCTCCTACCTTTCTCTTGTGCATCGTGCTAGTTGTGTATATAGTTTCTTCACCATGTTTCCAGCAAGTGCCATCATTGAATCCCACAATTCATGAAAATTCTCCTTCTGAGGATTTTCTTCTGCATGCATGGAAACTTTTTTTCTTCTTCGACATAGATTGGAAAAATAAAAATAGTTAAAAGGCTTCACAAAGATCAACTTTAGGTTGTGATCAAACTCCATTACTAGGCTACTTGGGAACAGGGTTCACTTTTCCACTGCACTGTCTTTGGCTCAGAAGAAACAGTAGATGTTTAGCCGTGTGTAAGATGATTGCTTATATCTTTGTCTGTATCAGTGCTCATGGATTGGGGACGGCAGCACTGTCAGCGAAGGAACCGGAGGCTCTTCCCTTCTGCGCCATTGCTTATGCACTGACTGGAATTTTTGGCTCGCTGCTTTGCTCTGTTCCAGCGGTAAGGCAAAGCTTGCTGTTTATAGTTGGGTAATGCATTCTTTTAAGTACACTGTTCTGAGTTTGAGGTACACTTCCAAAGTTCAAATGTAAAAGACAGTGTTCTTTGGTGTCTGATTCTTTGGAATCCATATGTTGCTACCTCTCTCTCAAACTTTGGAATCCATATGTTCTTTGGAAAATAAAAAGGAAATGAAAACCAAAATATTTAGGTTTTAAAAATATCCTAAATTTTTAGTCCCTTATGTTTTTTTAACGAGATTATCTTTGACCTCTATATCATCAAACGGCGCTCCCACCCTTCTGCCTTCACCTCTCATTCGTCGTTGTAATTATATCCTTTTCTGTCAATTCCATCCTATTCTTCTTCTAACACCATCGTAATTGATAGTCACACCTCAACTAACGGGGAAGAGGATGAAGATGGGAGGGGCGAAGACGGCAATGATCGACCGCAACGACGGCGGAGAGGAATCGGTCGGCTGTCTCGTCTATCTCGGGGTGGCTCCCAACGGACTCACCTGTCTCGCCCTGAACAGGAAAGGAAGAAAGGAGACACGCGAGCCTACGTTTCAATGGTATCCCTGGGCGGGCCCACGCCATCAGGCCATACCGTGGCTCAGAATCGTGTTTTGTGGCCTAGCGGAGACAGGGGATCTCCTCACCCAAGTGAAAACCACGGCAGGATGCGAGGCCTGAGACGCGCCCCATCGTCTGCGCCGAGTGGACCCACAATGGGTAGGGCCCACACTCGAGAGTCAAAAAGGCATGTCTCTCCCACAAAGAGATAACAGTTTCAGCACAGCGAGATGGATTTTGTAGTTTCCGACACAGTTGAGGGGTAAACGTATCATTTCGCTCTCTTGATTGGTGCGGTGCTCATTAAAAGCTTGACAAAAGGACACCACCTGCCCTTTCCTTTGCCTCCCCCCCTACCTTTCTCAACTGCTCTCCGCCTCTATCATCAGCGGTGCTAAATTTTTCGTTTGATTTTAGATGAACGATAGTAGGAGGCGTAAAGGAATTCTCTCTTCCGTAAGATCTTCTTCTTCTTCTGCTTCTTGTTTCTTCTATGATCTGTTGCATACTGCTCTCAGCCTCCTCTTTCTGTTTCTTGCTTTTCTAGTATCCTCTATCAATGTTTGTTTTCTTCAGGATCTCTGGGATGATGGAAGGATCTCACAATCAGTTAGTCTCTGATCATAGATCTCTGTTTATATTTTGCTCTGTCAACAAAAAAATCATTTTTTTTCCTTTTTCCTTGTTAGTATGCTGCTTAAGCCTCTTTCTTCCGTTGCTGAAATGTCCTCATCAGCTCAAACTTTTATCTGTTCCTCGATGTTGATCTTTCCATCTTCCCATTCCCATCGTTTCTGTACTTATTTTCTAATTTCTTCTTTGAAAAAGTATAAATCTTTAGACAAAATCTATGACCCAACATTCATTTGGGAACCATATTTACTTAGTCTCTTAAATATTGTTCTTTGATTCCATTAAAAGCTTATCTTAGATTTTAGTTCTTCAAAATTTTGATTTCTCTTTTGTGAGAACATTGTGGATGTGATGATCTTAATCGATGTTCTGCTCATCCGGACTTTCATTTGTTGCATCCATAGCTGTTATCATTGATATAAATGCATTTTGTCTCTTTTCTGGCTTCAAATGTTTCTCTTCTCGCAGCAATTTATCCTTGAATGATGTTGGTGTTACATCTCCAGAGGTAGATTTCACAGTCCTTCAGCACATATTTAGGGAGTTAGGGAGCATAAGCAACAAAAATCTTTGATGGACTGAACCTGGAGTTCTTCAACTCTTCAAACCCTCGGTAGTAGCATGGATGGAAGGGGAAGGTTGGGGACAAGGAATTGGGACTTCTGTGATCAGTCAAAACAAGCAGGGAAGATGCTGAAGTCGGTGTCTGGTGCTGTTCCTGCACACCAGGAGACCTCTCTTAGGATTAGCTCCTATCCTGCAACTGGTTCACACAGCTCTCATCCACCCACGATGGACTTCTCATGGTTTCCGCAGAGAAGCTTGGTCTCCCAGTCAAAATGTGTCGACCACCCTGCTGCAAATCCAGTGAGTTCAGAAATGATCGACATCCAAACCATGCCGATCGCTGAGGAGGAAACAGACGACAAAGTGGCCACTACCCCTCCGCCTATTCCGAAGCTCCGTAAGCAGCATTCTTCTACCAAGAAATCTGGTCGTGTCGCCGCCAAGGTATTGCGACCGAAAGAGCCAAAGAAACAGCTCCCCAACCCCACGAAGAAGAAAGGAGGCTCTTCGTCCACAGGAAAACGCGAGAAGAAGAATCAAGACAGCGTTGCAGAGCAGGGAACGATGCTTGATATCTCGAGCGTTCCTGTGCCCGTTTGCTCATGTACTGGCGTGCCACGCCAATGCTACAGATGGGGGTCAGGCGGATGGCAATCCTCCTGCTGCACCACAACCATTTCCGAGTACCCTCTTCCGATGAGCCCCACCCGGCCCGGCGCTCGCCTGGCTGGAAGAAAGATGAGCATTGGCGCATACGGGAAGCTGCTGCAGCGACTCTCAGCCGAAGGTTTCGACCTGTCGTACGCGGTAGACTTGAAGGATCACTGGGCGCGGCATGGCACCAACAAGTTTGTCACCATCAGGTAGCATGTAAGGGAAAGCAAGATTTGCTTTCCTCTTGTCGCTGCTGATTTGTGTTCGAGCTGTGTGTTGTACAGTAGAAGACTTCCTTGTAAGTATGTTTAGTCGAGTGAGTGGGTGTGTTGGTGTGCGAGGGACGACACTAAAGGTATCACCTTTTTTGGGGACATCACAACGCACCAGAGAGAGGACAAAGTGCTCCACTGGGAAGACAGTCTAACTCAGAGTTGATGGCTTTTCCATGGCTTCACTCAGAAGCATCATCATCGTCGTCAACCTTTTGTGGAGCCTCTCTCTCTCTCCGACTTTATGAAGCGCTCACGCTTCTTCTACCTTTTTCTTTTCGACTGTATGGCCATGTCCTCCACGAACAATAATTCAAGTTCTCGATGGCACAGAGCCGCCACATAATTGTTGTCGGCAATCTACCGAATTCCTCATCGTATATTCTGAAAAATTAGCCGAAAAGCCACATTGGCACTGCCGGAATCTAATGCGGTTTAGCCGCCGCCAGTGTGTCGGAAGGACATCGGTCCATGTGGCAGTTGGTGGGACCCGGTGGCAGTCGCCAGGTGGCGTATCCCACGCCGTGTCTCTTTCCTTCCACCGTCTACGCTTCACACACCTTTCCCTTTCCGCCCCACTGGCCACTCGAATGCGCCAAAGCCTCTGCCCTCTGCCACGCACAGGTTCGAAAGCGATGATGATGGTGGAGAGATAGCCATAATTGCCACCACCCGCCTCCTCTTCCACTCCGGAAAAGCATGCATATAGAAAGGGTGAGGGTGAGTTCGTCACTCTCTTCCGCTCGGGAGCAGAGATGGCCGCGCCACTTCTCCTCGTCGTCTTCCTTCTCGTCCTCTTCCTCTCATCGTCGGCGGCTCAGATGCCTGGTAACTTCTTGGTGCTCGTCTCTGTTTAGGTCTTGGTGAGCCCGTCGGTGATGATTTCTTACTTCTGTGCTCTTTTGTTTGTGATCTCCTTTATGGACGGATGAAAAGAGATCCTTATGATTGTGTGTAAATATGTGCGCAAAACAGCTCCATTCGCTTCTGATTTAAGTGAAAGATTTGTTGTTTTCCACCTTAATATTTTCTCTCTCATAAAAGGTTAGAACTTTTGGTCTTGATGCATTAGGCACGCTATTTTAATTTGCATAAGATAGGGTATTGTGAACTTTATGTATCTTAAAAGATACTGGTGAGATTTGCAGATTAGATGTTGGGAAAAAAAAAAGAATTTTTAGCTTACTATTGATCTCAACTATCAAGATCATGTTGATTGTACTAAACCAGAGCAAAGAAATTTGAATGTGCAATTAAGGGATTTTGATTTGCTTTTGTGAATAACAATTTTTTTTGTCATCTAAGTCTGGTGTTATCTATGTTGATTGTAAGGGCCAGAACGAAGAGATAGCATAGGTTTCTGCATGCTCTAGCTTGTTATTGCTTGCCAAGATGATGTTCTAAGAAGGGTCAAACACGACGGATAACTTCTCTTGCAGTTCATCCTACAAAACTTATTGTCTCATTAAAATTGTTGTCCCTGTAAGGAACAATTTGCTTATGGTTTTAGATGTGAAGATTAATCTTTCCTACTTACCTAATTTTTCTGATGCAGGTTTTATAAGTTTGGACTGTGGGGGTACAGATGAATATACAGATGATATTGGACTTGAGTGGACTCCGGACAGTAACATTATACATGGACAAACTGCCAGCATATCCATCCCTGGTGAGAGCCGGAAGCAATATATGAAAGTGCGATATTTTCCGGCAGATAGCAGTAAGTACTGTTATACATTGAGTGTCAAGTCGAGGACCCGCTACCTAGTAAGAGCAACTTTCTTGTATGGGAACTTTGATAGAAGTAATGTTTACCCAAAGTTCGATATCTTTCTTGGGGCAACGTATTGGTCCACCATTGTGATATCAGATGCAGCAACCATAGAAGTTCAAGAGCTGGTTTTATTGACCTCTTCTCCCACAGTTAGTGTTTGCTTATCTAATGCTAGTACTGGGCAACCATTTATCTCCACACTCGAACTTCGTCAATTTAATGGATCACTATATTATACAATATACGAAACTCAATTCTTTCTCAAACTGTCGGCGAGAATAAATTTTGGCGCAGAGAGTACCGATTCAGTAAGGTACTAGAACATATGTTTCTTTTTGTTAGTGATTTGTTCATAAGTCCTAAGGCAATGATTCTATTTTGTGATATGTTCATATTTATTTTCTAGTTGGATGCAGGATCAGATATAGTATCGCAACCTAATTTCGTAGTGGTTTATTCACACACAACAATGCCCCATATAAATATATAAAAAAATGATTGTTAAATAAATGAATCGACCTGAAAGCTCAAGAAGATATCTTCCATGCTAGTCATGCATTTCTTGACTTGCATATCAATATTATCAAGCTTTTGAAGGCCTTACACTGTGGGTACATCCTCAAATGCTGAGTGTTGTTCACTTCAAGAATGGGTAGTGTTGGATTCTAAGATGGTAAATAACTCAATAAAGGACAATATTGGTTTTAAATTTAAAATTTCCACATTATTTTGTATTCAGTCTATCGAGTGCATTTAGTTATCATTAGTTAGTCCATATACAAGGAGAAGGTGGAGTGTATTTACTAGTTTAGGTTGTGCCGCTAAATGGGTTGGCAATTCAACTTAACTTTCTGAACAAGAATATACAAGTGTACTTGCAGAGAAGCATACAAGAAGCAATAGGACACTAAAGGTTTGTAGGCTATCAATGATTTTGGTCTTTTTATGGCATTACGCGACACATATTCTAAACATTCCATTACTTTGGTGATGACATCTTGGGAGACCTGTGAATTTTATCGTCTCACTGATTTTCTTATGATGTTCTGCAAGGGTAGGTTGAACAGTTGGCCTTATGGAGACCATGGCAGCGATGGTCTTTTCAGGCTATGGGTCAAGAGAACCTTCGAGGTTCTATCAAACTTAACTATATCCAATGACTGCCAGAAGTAATGTATTTCCATTGATTTCAGCTTTAGTCAGTTTCCAATCAGCTTCAGCTAGGTTCAAGCCAAAACCAATTCAAAAATCATTTTCAATTGGTGGCTAACCAGAACATAGCTGGTTCTTGTCCGGCTTTTGCCTTTTGTTAATTGGAACTAATACTTTTTGTTGAGATCATTTGAAGCCAATCCAATGCCTTTAAAGCAATGTGATATTGACATACTTCTAATACTCCTGTGAACCCATTTCTGTCCATGCCCAACTTTTTCCACTTTTGATAGCAACCAAATTAGGAGATTTCCTTCAAAACCACTTTAATTCATAGATTTTGCTCTTTTGTATGACAAAAAGATAGCATAAAAATTGCTTGACCAATTAAATATGTTAAGACACCAAAATCACCTAGCACTATTGTATTATGAATTCTCATGATATATGTTGAGCCTATATAATCAGAAACAAGAAATGTAAGGTCTGGCATACCATTTAGGTAAAGCTTATATACATTTAATGTAAAATCTGAAAGTGTGAACATTTGCCACAGTAGAGTAAAGAGGAGAAAATTCAAATATTTGTGTATATAAGTATGTATATATATGTATATACATATATATACTCCTTTTCTGCTGAATTCCCTTTTCTATACGTGCATTTTTGTTTGCAAAACCTGATGTTCCATATATTTTTGTCTTCAAAATCTGGAAAAGCAGACTTGCCTTCTAAACCTTGTTTAGTGAAACTTTTATCATTATAGGTTTCCCGATGACCCATTTGATAGAATATGGGAATCAGATGCTAAAAGGAGAGCAAATTACCTTGTCGATGTTGCTCCTGGAACTGAAAGAGTATCAACTACAATGCCGATAGACGTTAGTACTTTTGAAATGCCGCCTGAAAAAGTGATGCAGACAGCTGTGGTGGGTCAAAATGGATCCTTGACTTACCGTCTTGACTTAGATGGTTTTCCAGGATATGGTTGGGCATTTTCATATTTTGCAGAAATTGAAGAACTCAGTCCAAATGAGACCAGAAAATTTAAGCTAGTAGTCCCAGGCATGCCAGCATATAGTAAACCCACTGTCAATGTTCAAGAGAATGCTCAAGGGAAGTATCGGCTCTACGAACCTGGGTACACCAATGTTTCCCTTCCGTTTGTCTTTTCCTTTGGGTTTAAGAAAACAAATGATTCATCCAGAGGGCCAATCTTGAATGCGCTGGAGATCTATGTGTACCTGCAGATAAATTATGGATCTCAAGATGGTAATCTCTCCTACTCATCTATTTGGATATATTGTAACTTACATAAAAATATAATTATGAGTTTATGATGTATTTGTTTAATGAGTTGCAGCAATTGTCATGGCCAGTTTGGTTTCACACTACCCGCTGTCTGATTGGGCACAAGAAGGTGGTGATCCATGTCTACCAGCATCATGGTCTTGGGTGCAGTGTAGTACAGATCCACAACCGAGGATAATTTCCATGTATTAAAATCAATTTTCCTTTCATATCTTGTATTCCAAACTGTTGAAGATTGTAAAGATGTACCTTTTTTGCAGTTTCTTGTCTGGAAAGAACTTGACAGGAGATATTCCAACAGAATTGTCGAAGTTAGCAGGCTTGGTTGAAATGTAAGATTTAGTGGATAAATTTTCTCAGATGATCATTGTGGATTGTCTGTTTGGCTTAAACTACTTTATATTATATTGAATGATTTCTTTTTACTGCAGACATCTTGATGGGAATTCACTTACTGGACTAATACCTGATTTTAGTCGAAGTGTAAATCTGAATAAGATGTAAAGGGATAATGCCTTGTACATTTTGCACTTTAGATTTCACATGAATTTGACAAAATGCTTTTTTTATTTCATGCAGCCACCTCGAGAACAATGAATTAACTGGTCCACTGCCTTCTTATCTAGCAAACCTACCAAGTCTAAAGGAACTGTAAGTTTTACAATTCGAGTTAAAGTTACGATTTAGGTGGCTTGGGGCTGTGGATGCAATTTTTATCATTATATGCATTTTCATATTATTAGAAGTTTAGTTATTGTAGGAGTTCCACCATAACCATACAGTTCTCCATCTACTTCTGTAGAGCTTATCTCTATCTCATCCGATTTTATTTAAGTGATATTATTCATTTTAAAAATTTTCAGAGCTTTATGAATATTCATTGCAGGTATGTGCAGAATAATCATCTGATTGGAGTAATACCAAAGGGGCTTCTCAATAAAAACATCATCCTCAAGTGGGTATATCTTCCATTACATGAGATATCCAGTGCAAGTATTGTAGTTTATTTCCAAAACATGGACTAGAAATTAGGTGATGAATCTGCACTTAGGCATAATAAGGCAACATATTGACAAAACTGCAAAGAAAATTATTTTATTTCCATGATTACATATATATATATATATGTATATATATATACATATATATATGTATATGTATATGTATATGTATATGTATGTATGTATCTGTATGTATGTACATATGTATGTATATATATAGTGGGTTGACCACTGCTGGATTGACCAGTGCCATGCCTGATACTTTTAACTTATGCTAGAACATTGCACTAAGAACTCTGAAGCACAAGCAACAGGAAGTCCATCTTTTTTTTTTTCTCATTTTTGCCTTGTTTGATAATTGATATAGTTTTTCAAACTTCTTGTGCAAAATGCTCACATTAGATAAATTTTGAACTGATTTCTGTTCTTTGTTTTGTCCTGATTTAGCTACTCCGGAAACAAAGGCCTCCACAAGGAAAGCAAAGACTTGTATCATGTCATAATTATTGTTTTTTCTGTACTGGGAGCTTGTTTGTTCCTTCTGAGTATTATAATATGCTGCTTGTTTTTGCGCAAAACAAGGAAAAATCTTCCGAAAGGTACATGTGGAAAACCTTTGCTTTATTATATCATCAGGATTAAGAGGATCACATTCACAATCTACAAATCTTTTTTCTTTTCAGATGATGTGCCAAATGTCCAACCTGCTCAGAAGTTGGGTACTTTCTTCAGTGAAGTTTCTGCAGAAACAGCCCATCGATATACATTGTCTGAAATTGAAGATGCCACTGGCAAATTTGAAAGACGAATTGGTTCTGGAGGATTTGGAATAGTTTATTATGGAAAAATGGTAGATGGAAAAGAAATCGCAGTCAAAGTTCTTACTAATGACTCCTACCAGGGAATCCGGGAGTTTTTAAATGAGGTACTTCTTTATACTGACTGTCAAATATACATCGCTATTGTCAAGAAAAATACTTTTTGAATTTTCAATGTAGATGGTTAATGAGTTCTTTGCAAAACATGCCTATACGATACAGAAGATACTTTTTTGTTAATATTCTTATTTGTAGTTACTACAATGTTCTTTCAGGTCACATTGCTTTCTAGAATTCATCACAGGAACCTGGTAACTTTTCTTGGGTACAGTCAACAGGATGGAAGAAACATTCTTGTCTATGAATTTATGCAAAATGGAACTCTGAAGGAGCATCTTCGTGGTATGTCTGCCCTGTTTGTTTCAGAATAAATGCTTTTACGATACAAAAGTTCATGTGCAATTTTTGCAGGACCTTTGGCTCATGAACGGAATCTCGGTTGGATCAATCGCTTAGAAATAGCAGAAGATGCTGCAAAAGGTTATAAACCCAATTAAGAATATTTTTTGCATTTTAAAACTGCAATCACATTACGTTGAATCTAAAAGACCCCTTCGACTGAAAACAAATCAGGAATCGAGTACCTCCATACAGGCTGCTTTCCGACCATTATACATAGAGATCTCAAGAGCAGCAACATTCTGCTTGACAAGCACATGAGAGCAAAGGTTGCAGATTTCGGTCTCTCCAAACCTGCAGTAGATGGTTCCCATATCTCAAGCATAGTTCGAGGAACAGTGGGATACCTTGACCCTGAGTAAGCCTTTGATTTTTCTTCACTAAGTAATTTCAATCCGAAAATAATTTAAATCTCTTTGCGAACCTGGTTTTCAAGTTTTATTTTACTTGAAAACTATTATTTGTGCTCCTTTATCGTATGATACGATACTTTTAACAATGCTTAGCTGTGAAAGAACTCCAACTCACTAACGGTAGACACATGCAGATACTATACCTCACAGCAACTAACAGAGAAGAGCGATGTTTACAGTTTTGGCGTAATTCTTCTTGAGCTGATCTCAGGGCAAGAGCCAATTTCCAGTGAAAGTTTTGGCCTGAACTGCCGTAACATTGTTGCATGGGTCAGTCACTATCATATTATAACTGAGCTCAGTTTTTCTTGTGTTTTTTCTTTTTTTATTGCCGATATCAGTTGTCAAGGCATGGATCTTTCTCCATGTTCTTACAGCTAGGTGGCTACTATGTGCCAATCTCTGACACATCGAACTATATCGTATGGCAGGCAAAGTCACACGTGGAGAGTGGTAACATCGAGGCCATCATCGATCCCTCATTGCGGGATGATTACAACGTGCAGTCTGTGTGGAAAATTGCAGAGATCTCCATCATGTGTGTCAATCCTCATGGATCACAAAGACCATCAATAACGGAGGTTCTCAAGGAGATCCAGGGGGCCATAGAAGTAGAACGAGGGTCAAGGCTGGGTGGAGATCACACCATGGGGCCACAGTCGAAGAACTCTACGGATCATTCTATGAACTCGAATGCCGGGGAGTTGGCTACTCCAGAGCAGAATGTAACTTTCCCAGAGTTCTTTCTGGGACCAGGGCTCCGGTAACTGTTGAACACTTTGGACATTATACTACCACACAAGAAAGAACATTGACAAGAGGAAGCTGGAAATGGATATACACTTGTGTAAACATGTCAATTTCTGGTTATTTTCCCGAAAACTACAGCAGCTTAAAACCTTGTAGCCATTTCAGCATTAGACACTGTTGACTGGCTTCAGTGCCAACAGCTGCTGTTTCCTGTTGACTGATAGAAAACAAGCAAGCTCTATATATGATATAAGAACGGTTTGAGTTCAGGAAGAAGAGTTACATGTTGCTCAAGTGCTGAGTTGCGAACAAAAAGAGACTGTTGCTGCGAACACTGATCACTAGTAAGATGAAAAAACCATGTGAGTCCATTGATATCATCACAACCTGTTAATCATCGAATCGTCACAGCAGCAGCAATAATCTTAGAAGAATGATTTTTGCATCTAACAAAATAATCCCTGAAAAAATCGATTGAAAATTAGATTATTAAATCTAAAGAAATGAAAATAAGATTATCCCAATCTAAAGGTCAAGAATAAAATCCAAACACGGACATCAAAGCCAACAATTCTCATTACCTTTCCTTCACTTCCACGTTACCAACAACGGACCCGATCTCTGAAAACCTGTTTGGTTTGACTTGGAGATGGGTGTTCTACTTCTCCAATCAGCATCATCACGCTTTAGAATATATCCCACCTACAACTGATTCCTGGATGACCTCAGGAAAGGTGGCTATGCCAACCTCTTGCGTCATAATGGAGAAAAGTCGAATCCACAACGAAAATTCCCATGTGATTCAAGGGTCTTACCATGTGTAGACAAAGCACAGATTTATGCAAATGATCAAACAGTAGCACCAAGGTACCGCAATGTGAGAATCACTCTTCCCAGCTATACAATTACTTTGGCCAATAAATCATATGGGCCAACAAAAACAAAATACATGTATTTACATGAAGATCTTCAAGGTAGAGTCAGAAACTTCAAAACAACCCCATACAAATGCAGCAGTATCCTCCACGTCTGAGCAAATACAACAAGACACACCTCCACTGAGGCAGAGCAAACACAACAAGACACATCAAGATGACAGCCCTTCGCTAATGCCTCATCGCTCAAGAAACTAGTCACAAGAATTAAGCTCAGTAACTGATGCGTTCCTGCTTGGAATATATCATAGACATTACTTTACTGCTAAAAATAACAAACAATACAAGATAACCAAAACACACCTATCAGCTAATCAGAAACAAAATCAACATAAACATTATAGTGTCATGGTTAACCATTATGAAAAGAAGAGATCAATGCTTCACATAAATTAGATAACAACAGACAGCAAGCAGAAAAAAAAATAGTAATACAAAAAAAATTCAACCATTTAAATGAGGTTCACAACCATAAACATGCAGTGTAGCTCTGTTTCTACACACTAGTTCAAATGCAAAGAGTTCATTGGTGTATAAATATAGATAGATATATACACGCGCTTTAGTGTTAGTTTAAATCCTGTGACAGTCCACCGCAGATATCATTCGTGATATATATTAAAAATCAAATTCCCAACTTACCATTTGCATTGGACTACACTTTTTAATTCTGCAGATATGAAGGAAACTCTAACGTAACAATTTTAGCCAATCCTAGAAAGCAGATCGATAATAATGAAGTAAAATAAAATTGTGAAATGGGAACATAATAATAACTTCAATAATCGCAAAGTCCTAGACTCAAATCCCGCCTTCTCCACTTTACACTATGCAAAAAAAAGAAAAAAAACGAAAAAATCAATAATGTTTGCCATATGGACAGCTATCTCCGTGATCATGTCCTTGGTGAGATTTTTAACAAATGTCCTTAAATTGATGAACCCTTTACTGGTATATATCTAGTAGATAGGGGCCAAGATATACTTACAAGCTTTGCTGTCCACTTGATATGAGTACATATGTCGCCTCTGTTAAGGCATAAATCCATGTGAAGTTTCAAAAGTAAAATGAATGTCAAAAAATAAAACTCCAGCAAAATAGATCTTGATCTTATTCTCTAATGCAAGTTGAATGGAGTAGAAACCAGTTTCTTTGTGAAAACAATTGTGCAATCCCTGCACACTAGGCTGAAAAATGAACAATTTGGTGTACTAAACTCTCAACCAATTATGAAATCATTTCTACATTGCTACACTTGGCCAACCTCATAATATTTATGCTTCTTAATACTGTAGACATGCTCAGCATCTCGTCTTAAAAAATAAGTAGTTTGCGACTGTGCATTATTATATTCAACGACACCTTATAGACAAGTTAGTTCTTGCTAACGTCAACCAATACACCACTGAAACAAAAAACAGCTAGACAAATCTTAACACAAGAAGATAAAAGCAAGATGGCGACATGCAACTCCATGCCAAATGTCTTTCTCTTAAGCTATTTGACCATCAAACTAGCATGCATTTTAAGGAAGGTCCTTATAGTTAAGAAGTGCATCATAGAGATTCCAAAGATTCTATGCAGTTGAGAGATCTCTCGGACTGAAACAGCACAACATGGCTGACATTAACAACATTTCAGGTTTATAGATATGTTATTAAAGCACCTTCACCAGATAGCATTCCCCACAGTTAATCCATACAGATTGTAAAAATGTGCATACCTGTCGATGGAAATTGTCCAAATATTAAGCTTTCAGATTGTAAAACTGACTGTCATCCATTGTCAGATATCCACTTTCACAATAACAAGGTCAGAGCAGCACAGCAACAGATCAGCGTTACATTCCAAATGCCTGGTTATACAGATTACCTGCACTTGGTATGTGGAACTTATTTTCGTCAGTGCTTGTGTAATAGTCATTAAGTCCAAATCTCCCATTCCTGAATTTCTCACTCATGCCTATATTATTGCCAGGGCATACACTCTTCCAGGCATCCCACTGGCTATTTGAAAAGAGTGGATTTCTCAAATGCTGGAATGACAACTGCATAATTGGAGAAATACCAGCATGGCTTTGTGCCAAAAGTTGAGATGCAATGTATGCATCATTCAACTGTAAGAATCTTTCTCCCATATGATCTGGTATTCCCAGGTTCTGAGGAGAAGAAACTGATTGCTGAGCCAATAAATGAAGCCTTGGATCATTATTGGGGGTGCTAAACTGTGCAGGAAATGAATATTTCAACCCCAATGTTGAATTATTTGGTTCAAGATGTATCCGTCCCTTACCAATAGCCAATATCGCCGGATCAATGAACTCCACATCACCTGAACTTCCAGCTAAATGTGATCGATAATGATTTCCACCTAAAAAACAGCCAAACATATGATTTTCTAGAAGGGTGAAAAGTTTTCAAAACAAGCATCACAAAGTGTACAAACCTAAGTAGGTCATGTCATGTTCCTGGTTACCTCTGTCTGGACAAGAAAACCCCGGAGGCGACGATATGGTTGGAGCCAAGAATCCAGGTGGAGCTGTTATCTTGGCCCTTGAAACACCTTCCAACAAGTATAGGATTTAAAATATATATTTTAACTGAAATAACTGGAAACATAGAATGTGCATGCAAAAACCTTAATATTCAGTAAATTTTCTGCCATATAGAAACAGAAAAGCAGTGAACTAGTAGACTTCAAAGGCAGAAAAAACATAATAATTGGACAATAAGTTTAGACGGGTAGGGCTAATTTAAAAGTAAAGCTCCACTAGTTCAGATCTAAACTAAGATACAAGTAGGGCCAATTTAAAAGCTTAGATCCAAGTAGAGCTGAAAGTCGATTGGCTAGAATCTCACGTGTGTATGAGAACAAATATCTGTCATGTTTATTTTGATCTGCATTTTTCCAACCAACAACTTTTGACATTGGACATGGATCTGTTTGAGTTCTAAACAGCTAATAATAGATAGGCCATTTTAGTAATTCTTTAGTAGTTCTCCTTTCCTATCATTCCTTTCTAATTTAAGCTTCTCTAAACTAGAGGGGAACAAACCAAGCCAAACTGAAACTGAATTGTTTCATTCAGTTTGGTTTCTTATTCAGTTTCGAAAACAGGTGATATTCTAAAGATATGTATTACAGTTTAAAGTATCAAATTCCTAAGGAAAAGGTGCATTGCATCTATATTTCTTATATATACTAGGTGTTATACCCTATTTATGAGCATGAATTTTATATTACCACAGTTGATTACACATATGACTATATGCAATCAGTTCACTTTGGTTAATAGTGATTTCTTAAACCCAGACCATGCAAACTGAAAGTTGTTCCTTCTCCATCCTTTCAACTGAAACACTCAATATGAAAACCTGCACAAAATCTAAGTGCATAAGTTCAGTTGGATTGATCAAGTTTATCAGTTCAATTACACAGCCCTACTTTGGAAACAGATTTATCCTCAATTTTCTTCTCCCATAATCCCATTCACTTTAACTGTTAATGGGTAGCACTATTTCTCCAAAAACATTATGAACATTGCATGACAAGAATATGAATAACACTCAACATGTATACTCCTAACACAAAACACAGTCAATTTTTAGTACCCATTCAATGCTCACAACTATATATTAGAATATGGATCCACCCACTATGGTGCTGAGACCAAAAATAAGCACCAAATTTTAGCTGCAGCAAAGTACTACAAACCATTCAGAAGATCAGAAAGGTGCAAAAAAGCCATTTCAGCATGTTGTTTCAAGATATACTAGAGTTCTCTAGCTCGTGCATAGGACAGGACATTCTATTGGTGTAATAAGTGAATGTGTGTTACATTATGGATTCACATATGGGCCAAAAACCTTTAGTTATCCTTGAGCACAAGTAGCTGGTACGTTCAAACCAGCAGCCTCTGTCACGCTTGTATTCTCTTTTGACCCGAGATGCATACATCATGAAATGATTGAGGCAATGAATAGAAAGGGTATCCAATTAAAGTTAGCAAATCATGGCCATAATGCATGATGAATAGAAACGAAACAGCAAGATTCTCACCAACTGTGATGTAATTACTTCCATAGAACTTTCCTTACAAAAGGGAGGAGGGATGGCACAAGAGGCACATTTTAGATTATAAGAGAAAAGGTTAAGTAAAAAATATTCTAATCACTTGTTTAAATGATATCAACAGATTGTAGTTGAACAAATACTAGAAAGAACAAAGAAAAATAAAGTAATCCTAATAGCCAAAGAGAATTTACACCAAATGTCAAGAAACAACAACCATGATGTAATCTAAAAAAGATACTGAAGGAATGAAAATTGCTGAA